CAATTATATATAATTTATAAATTACTTTCACCCAGATAGAAAGCTTTTCTTTCGCGTATTACCTGACAAAACTCTCGCTCTTAAATCCAAAAATTGCATCTGCAGTAAATTATAATTTTCAAAAATTTATGAAAGTCTTATCGATTTTGATCCCGAAGTTGAAATTTCGCTTACAAGCTCTGCTAAATTTCAGAAAGAACTCGATTTGCAAGACTCGATGATTTCCATGGTTTTCTCCAAATCTACAGAAATATCTGCACTGAAGAGAACAATGTCGAAATTCAATTTAAAGACCAAAGCGATGTTATAGACACAAGTTCAGAAGAAGAATGTAATAAGAAATAAGTGAGCCCAAAATATCATACAATAAGTTGTTAAAACTTAAACTTTATTTAAAATATCATTTGGGTGCAATTTAAACATAATATCTTGTACTCCCTCCTATAATCGGGCAATTCACATGACCGGACAACAACACTGCGACTCTTTCACAGTACATTATTGGAACAAATGATTTAATAGTTCAGTTCGTTATTCTTAGTTTACTTTTAATTATTTTTCTGTGTATGAGATTTCACATATCACATGTCATTATAATATTTAACCATTTTCCACAAAGTAGTTTATTTAGTTCCATCCTAGTTCCATCCTTTAAGCAGCAGATATACCAACTTTGCTCAAAAGACATGATATGATAGTCTAATTTGCTGACGAGATGTTGAGATGGCTCAGAATAATTTACAAATTCTAATAAATATGGTAACCAAATAGTTAACAAAATGTGACACACAAATAAATGCAAAAAAAAAACAATACAAGTCACCTACAAAAATAAAAGTAAATAAAAAGGTCATTAAAGATTAATAAATCAATTCATATTGACACGAAAGCTAAATATCTGGGAGCAACAATAGATTAAAAATTTAAATTAAAAGACCACAGGTTAGGTTAGATTAAAGTGATGGTTTTACACGCGAATTGAACTCGTGCCCTGCCAAATTTGAAGCTCAGAGTCAGTGTTTATTAGCCAAATAACCCAAAGCCGTACTTTTTTATATTCGCCATTTTTCTGGAGTTTTGTTAATTTGCTGTGAAAGTTTTATTAACAAATAGAATAATTATAGAGTAATAATAGCTATAGAATAATTGAATTAATTAATTTTATTTTTATTTTTAATTATTAAATTTCATATTATTTTAACAATTAGTTAAATTATTACAACCATATAATTGGTGTTTCAAATATTCCTGCTGATATTTGGCCAAAAACCGGTGTTTTTTACCTAAACCATATAATTGGTGTTTCAAATATTCCTGCTGGTATCTGTAGTAGATGTGCCTGTAAAAATTATGATTTGTCTGCTGAATGCGAAAATATATATACGCAGACACTTTTTAAAATAAATAAAAAAACTATAATATTATGATGTTAAAATATAAATAATTAAAAAAATTAATGAGGGGACTAATTGGTCATATAATAAAAATTAAAAAAACTATAATTTATTATTTATATTGAAACAAATTATTTTGTTAAGATATTTTCCAATATTTCGACTATCTTCGATAGTCATAATTTATTAAATACCATACACATACTTGTAGAAACATGACTATAATTTATATTCTTTTATTTTATATTAACGCTTATTACGACCATCGGTTTGAACGAGTGAATTGTCAGTACTTCTTAACATACGTATACTACTTTGAGAAATTGCACAAAGCCAGGCTTTGAGAAGACTTTTCAAAGTTCCTTGGTACATTAGGACGAATGACATACTCAGGGACCTCAAGATTGATCCCATCAAAAAATACATAAAGGATAGAGCCCTGAAGTTATTTGCGAAATCTGACAGACTTACTAACACCGCGTTATCAAATCTCAGAATGGTCAATTATTGCCTAGTTTAATGAAGTGATAAACAATAATCCAGTCAAGGCGCAAAGAGGGGTTTTGTAGAAACCTTGCAGTTAATAGAGAGTAAAAGTGCTCAGGTGCACTGACTCAACTCAACTAGCCTCAACATATATATAAATTTCTTAAATAATTTATGAATAATTTACTTAAATTAATAAACAAAAAATGTATATTATTTAGTATTATTTTATAATCACATTCATAACTTAATTATTAATTATTTCCTTATCAACTATTTGTACTAATTAAATATTTTGTACACCATTTCAGTTAAGCGAGGACATTGGATATGTATTATATTCCGCCCTGGGTTCGTTTTATATACCCAGTTGCATTATGGTTTTTGTTTATATACGAATTTATTTTGCTGCGAAAGCTCGAGCGAGAAGAGGCATTAAGAAGCATCCGCGAAAAACAAACAACGAACAGGTGAGTTCTGCAAAATTTGCTAATAGCTTGAAAATTTTAATACTTTTGCATTCTAAACAAGAACTAATTTAATTAGTAGTAGAACAATACCCCTTAGTGTCTGTAGCATCTGAAGGATACGCTGATGCAGCATTTGCAACAACTCATGCTGATAGCTGCAAAAATAATAAACGCAACTGCAACGACTGCAACGACTACAACGACTGCAACGACTATAAACGACTGCAACAATAATGAAAGAGCTCTAAGCAATAATTGCAGTTGCATGAAATTTAAGTAAAACTGCGAGCTTTTCATTACATTAACAAAATGTCAAGTGTAGTATTTCGGGTTTACCCTACTGCATTTCCAATATTTTCCTTTATATTTTGGTGTAATAATTAATATTGAGTTGTGCTGATCACAGCCAAAAGCAACATTAAACACTTCAAACTGCAAGCATTTATTCATGTATGTTTTCCGGGAGAAAGGGAGAAAGAAAGATAGTTGAGTGGCAGTGCAAAGCAATTACAAAATGCAATTCCAACTTAGTGCATGTCAGTGTTCTCGACTATGACTTATACAAAGTCGTTGCACATTTCATTGAGTGATTTGGAAGTGCAGCACTACATTTGAAAAAAATAAAAATATTTAAACGCATCTTCAGCAAATACCACTCATCAAACTCAACTTCTCTAGTTTTGGAAAATTTACTATATTGACGATACTGCACAAAGTGATAGTTTACTTACATTCTATCTCTTGCATTGAATACTAAAATACTGTATAATTTGTTTTACTTACAATGCAAAAAGAAAAAAGACTGCATTTCCAACTGCAGACAGTATTTGAAAAGCAGCTTTTACAATAGATGAACGGCATTGGAAACTGAAATATGCAACAGAGCACAGAAAAAAGTTGATGAGCCGTACAAAGACAGCGCTTAAATATCGGTACGATATTTACTTCGAACAAAAAAAACTAACTTTGTAAACTAAAAATTCAATAGTGAGCTTGCATTCAAAAAAATTAAGTTGAACCCCTCCATTTGAGAATCAAAAAATTATTTTCATTTCACTTGTAATCAATGCAGTCTGAAATGCAACAATGTTTGCAGAAGAAAAAAATTCCCATTTCACTATACGAATGTGTCAATAAAACTGTGAAAATTGTGCTGAACATCAGGAACTTTGCGAATGGAGAGGGCAAAATAGTGCTGAATATCAGGAAGTTTGCCAACGGAAAATATCAATGTGCCTTTAAAAAAAATTTCCAATTGTATGTTTGCCATAACTGTTGAAAATTGTTAAACATTTTAATATTTAACAAGTGGATAAAATCGCATTTCACTTCTTTGATACTTTTTATCTGTACTTTAAATGCATCAAAGCCAACGCATGAGGCATTAATCCTATGGACCATTTTTTTACAAATGATTTATAAAACCCACAGAGCACTCATAGCGTGAAGATTTAGTGTAGTATGAAACCCATTTCGATAATTTCGGTTCCTTTTGTTAAGCGGAGAACATTGGGATGTAGTGAACAATATTAGAAATTCCCCTGAAGAAGGAAAAAACAAATTTGCCGAAGTACGTACAAGAATATACAAAAAAATACGATCGAAATAAAAGTTAAAATCCTAAAAAACAAAACCGACTTTAAGCAGTTGATATATAAGCTTATTACAATGTCGGACTTGAGAACTTTATGTCTGCATTATGACAGAGAGAAGAAGAAGTCTCAAATTGTTTACGTGATTCTCTGCCTTGATGGCTCAACATCACGGTGCTCTTAACATACGTATTAATATAAAGCGTCAATCAACGCCCCATTGGAATAGCCTTCCATATTCCGTCGGTACCAATCAAAAAATTCATGTAAGTCATAACTTTCACCTTGGTGACATGCGAAGCCTACCTAAAACCTCTGCCACAATTTGGGCTGTAGCACCCGGTATGAAACGCACTCCACGGCGAATGAATGACAATCCTCAAATCATTCTTCAGTGCGGACCACTGACCCCCGTAGTACCAGATCGGATCAACTCTGGTCAGATGTCACAAATTGCCGACTCAACTCACTACCATTTACACTTTCTACATAAGTGTCAGACTGGCAATGGGGGATTTTGGTCACCTCTTACGGCTGGCAATCCGAACAGCACGAGTATTCTTATCCCCTCTCCACAGGGAATCATGAGAAAGAGAGTTGGACAAAAACATACAAAATGTTTCCAAGAATCATCGTCTCAAGGTGTTTTAAACAAAGTGGACATAAGTTGTTCTCAGCACGGCCGACTCAAGTAGTGCTTGGAACACGTGGCATGAGCGAAGACCGAATCAATTAGCAAAATACAATTCTTTCAATTCAGCATTACTTATTTCATTTAGATCTGGATATTAACATTTTATAAATTACAAAGTGGCAAATATTCTGTGTACATCCGACAATGTAAAAGTCCATAATGTTTTCAAAATACGATTAGTAGATAGAATTGACAAACCGCAATTATATTTTGGTTGAAATATGTTGTTAATGCATATAGCTCTTCAATATAATTTTTACTGAAATTATTGAATAAAGCCAGATTATTTTTTTCTCTATTACAACTATTAAATATATTCATAAAATAAATTTTTAATGTCATTTTTTTCTTGCCGAAAGTGACGCGTCTTATGACGAAAAGAAACTATTTAAATGTTAGAAGGGTTTGAATAGAAATTAAAAGACAACAACAAAAATGTGCATTTTATTCTTAACATTTATAATAGAAATTTTTTCTTATTTATTTTAAAATAGACTGTCTAGTTATTTGAATATGTTACTCATAGTTACAATAAATTCAATACATTCTGGGCTTACCCCACATAATTTTAGGAAGACTAACTGTAAGAAATAATATAAAAACTTGATGACACTTACAAAGTTAGTCCATTTAACAGTAAGCTTACATATCTTTTTAAATGGAAATTTTATTCGTATTGAAAAATACATTAAAAACAGAAATCCGATAATTTAACTCTAAATCTCATAGACAATAGCTAGTCTGAGGAAATATTTCAGGTCACAGATCTACCAAGTTGAACTCTTGTAATTGTCCTTTATCAAAAAGTTCGATACTTGTTGTAAAATAGATTACTAATACTGTATGTGATGTAGTCAATTATAACACAAAAAAAATACATGATTTCGCATAAATAATATATATACCGATTTTTAACATATTTAAAGAGTTTAAACCTAGTCAACTGGGATAGTTTATTTATTTAAGTCAAAATTATTATTATGAAACATATTTAAATTCTTTTTTTTTCTGAATTTATTACTATACTTGATATAATTAGTTACAAAATTATAAGTAAAAAAAAGTAAAGTAAAGTAGATATCATGTTTGCACGATTCAAAAAGTTACCAAAATCCTCTAATACTCGTCACTCAAAATCGAATATAAAAAAGCAAAAAAAATGGAGGCAAGAATTTATGAGAAACTACGTGAAAAATTCTTTACAAAGTGTCTATGATGGGCAGCCAGCCTATAGTAGTTCCACCTCAGTAGTACAAGAAAATATAATTAGATTTATTCCTACATATAATTGTCAACCGTCTTTCGTTCCGATTATACAACATGACTTTCATCCTAATAAAACCAATATATTGACAAAGAAACATATCACAACTCCGCACTGTGCTGCAATCACTGAAAATTTTACTCAAGGAGCTGCAGTAAAAAATGTTGCTAAAAATGTTCCATATAAAAATTTTGCCGAAAAGCCCAATGTTAAGAATCCTAACGAAGTAATTGATATCAACAAATCATTGAATCACACCGACAAATGTCCTTTGTGCAAGCAAAAAGATCTGCTTTCAAGTTCTAATACAAAACGTTTAAAAGAGTTGGAAAAAGAAATGTTCACTGTACGTTATCAGTTAGAGGATTTAGTCAAACAATTAAAGGATGAGAACTTAACCATGGACCTACTAGAGAAGTTAGTTCCTATGCATACGCCCGATTCTGTTGAAACTCATATGCCATCAGTTTGTCGATCTTATAACTCAGGAGCAACAAATCCTTTATGTAGTCTCTCTAAACCACATAATGTGATTTTTAAAAAACGAACACCCTTGAAAAAGGAATCATTTGGCAATGTTGAGACTTTGGTACTTCCAAATGACACCAAAGAGAAAATGATGATGCAGGAACTCAAGCAGAAAATTAGAGATAACTTTATAAGCAAAAAAATAATCAATTATAATAAACCTGAAAAGAATTCAACTGATATATTAACTGCAGCTTCTTCAAATTGCAAATCATCAGTTAAATTTGTTAAGCCATGTCATAGTAAGAACAGTGGAGGAAAGTGTTTTGGAACCAGCAACACTAATGCGTACAATAGTCAGGATAATAAAAATGAATTAACATCAGGAGTGGCTTTACGCAACAGATCAACTGTTAACACCTTAAACTTACAATATTGTAATCCAAAGTTTAAAACTGATTCCGAAACTACCAATAGTTCAGGTATTAAACAAACTCGAGACAGCTTTCTTAAAAATACAACTACAAGTAACAGTTTAAATATTAAAAAAATTCTTCAAGATAATCTTGAAGACAGCACTTCAAGAAAATCTCTTAAGTTTTTCATTCCACACCATTGTATTAAAATCAAAAGTGAGCCACAAGCGAATATTAAAAGTAATTCGGATGAAATTAAAAAGGATATGACTGAATCAAGCAGGACAACAAAGATCACATCATCAACCAAAGTCTCAGTAGAACTAAAAAAATCTAAAAATATCGTTGATATTCAAAACACATTAAATCGGGATATGAGCCGGAAATCTTCAACTAAAACATCAACTGTAGCTACATTTGAACCTTTAACATCATCAAAAATTTCAACAACACATGAATATACATTTAGTGACATTACACATCCTGATAGAAGTCACGAGACTAATTCTACACTTCCTGATAGAAGTCACGAGACTAATTCTAATCATAAATATTCACCACATTTGTTGGATAATGGAAAACTAAACATTCATTCGGAATACACAGATGATACAACATGTTTTGATGGAAATGATGAATATTTAGAGCCGTTGAAAATTGAAAATAAAAGAAACCACTTATTACCAAGTAAAACTTCGAAGGAATCCAACATGAATATTAAAAATTATGTGGAAGCCAGAGACAGACAAATAACTTCTAGAAATAAACAAAGTGAATCTGAGTATTCCAATACAAAGATTAATGTATTATCGAACAGCAGAACGGGTTTATATAAAAGACATAAATGCATAACTGATGTATTTGATATGGAGTTTATTAATAAACCCACATTAGTGCCATATGACTGCACCGAAGATGATGATTATGAAGATAATTATTTTGCTAGCACTATACTTAGTTCAGATGATAGTGAGATATCTGTTAGTGAAGAGGGGATGAACAAGAACATGAGCAGTGCATTATCGAAGGAGACTTTGAATCAAAGTTATAGAAGGAATGAAAACAGCTTAAGCAAGAGAAGAACTAGCAGTAGATCTAATGAAAGCTTACACAATTTAAGTGCTCAAAAGCCAAAGAATGTTCGTAGTTCAGATGAAAGTCGAATATGCATTTCAGAAAAACTAACCTCGGCATTAACCAGTGAAAAATCAACAAATTCATGGAAGTCTGTTCCATCTAAAAACCATTCCATATTAAATGAAAGTCAACAGAACTTAAATGATTTAGGTCCCGAAAATGCGGTCAGCTGTTTGAATGAGACACAAACAGCTATTAGTACACAAGATCTCGAAAAGGTTGCAAGCGAATGTCACATTGATCTGAACGAAAGTTTGCAGAGCTCCAATACATTGATAGCAGAGAACACATCAAGCAATACTATGTTTAACGATGTATTAAGCAAATATTTTCAGGATGAATCAAGTGATTCTGAAACTAATTATTTAAACACAAATAATTGTGAGAGAGATAATCACTCACTTGAGCTAGCAACGAAGCAGTTAGCATCATCTCAGCAAGAAAATGCGCTTAAGAGTTCCGAGCCTACAACAGATTTTCTTACTGACAGCAGTACTGAGCAATATCGCGCTGCATTCAATTACAAATTAGAAGGTACCATTACAGAACAATACCCTGATTCTTATATTGATGACGGTTTACCAAATGATCCACAAAAAATAGTTGAGAAATTAAAAAGCTATATAATCAAAGCACTAGGAGAAGAAGAAGCTAGTAGCTTCTTCAAAACAACTTCAGAGCAGTATGATTCTGATTTTAGTGACGATTATCTTACCTATAATTATGACTACAAGTCCAGAAAACAGAAACAAACATTTAAACGATTTGGCAGGCATGAGTTAAATGCGAAAATATCCGATAAAGGTTCCGACGGTACAGCGCAGTCAACAATAGTAAGCACACCATCTTTAAGCCAATCACAGAATTGTGTAAGTAGTAATGTAGACGAAAAAGGAACAGAAAAGACTTCAGTTCTTCAATTTAAACAACATGGCAAAAATCCTGATTTAAGAAATACTTCGTCTAATAATAATAGCCTTAAAGCAGATAGCAATCAGCATTTAACTAAGCAATCAATGAAAACTTCGTCAAAGTGTGGTATTCAAAAAGGCAAATCTCAAAGTAAAACTAATAAATCAGCCGTGACGAAACCACCATTTCGCACTTCATATAAATATTGATCCTCTCTAGGAGTGGTACTGATTTTTAATATCATTTCCACAGTACGGTTTGAGATAACGTTTGTTTGGCATTACCTATTTTGATGTACAAAACAATATTTATATTTTATTAATAATCACAATGCTTTTCTAAATATGAGCATATTTTTATAAAATTTTTAAGTAACAAATAAAGTAAATTTTGTTTTAAAACGCAATAAGTCAACATATTTAAAAATATTTATAATAATTGCTCAGAAGTATCATCAAGCCTATCAGCATTAAAAAATAATAATTCTTCTTATAATTCAATCTCTTCTTTGCGCAAGAAGTGCATAAGAGTACTTCTGGATAGGATACATGACACACACCCTGATTGCAAATCCGCATTTTAAGATGTATTTCTAAATAGTTTTGCGTGTTAAAAAAATGTTTTTGTATGAAATAAAGCACAAAAAGATCATTCGTGGTCTCAATGTTCCGGTCTATGAGGTCCTGTACTCCCTTTATTTTTGTATTTATACAAACATTTTACTAATTACTCCTTATTAAGAGCCTAAGAGCCTAATGGAATCTATAATTATTTATGTATATTACTGAGTACCCGCCAATTTCTTTTATTATACACTACATATAATACTACATAATGTTCTTACTGCACAAAAGGAAAACTCTTCAAATTTAAGCAAAATAAATGGAAGTATCCCAAATAGTGGTATTATAGAAGTCTATTCTAAGCTTCACCGTTTCAATAATTATAATCTTATATTCGTATAAGATTTGCTCTTCATGTTCAGATCGCACGTTGAATACTATTTATAATCACAACTATATCTTATTTCGACAATATCGGCTATATTACTGGAATTATGTTGAGGATTTTTATAGTTAGACAACTGCGCACTTTTACTCCTTCTTAGCTGGAGAGTCCCTCCCTTCTCTTTGACTTATTTCTCTGTTTCTCACCCGCTTCGCTGATTATTCGATAATCTAAGATCTGCATACCGCTCCGATAGTGCTATGTATGGCAGCCTGTTAGTTATCGTGTATAGCTTCAAGATTCTATCCCTTATGTATTTTTTGACCGGATCTATTCTGAGGTCTCTTTGGAGAGTCTTCGGAGAGCAATTTATGGCTTCTAGATAATAGAGTTGGCAGCTTTGCTATATGCGAAACACCCGCAGAGCTTTGCCGGTCTGATTATTTCGCTGTAGATCAATTTTGTGTTCTTAGCGTTAAGGTTATTGTGTTTAAAAAGTGGACGTAAGCAATGCAGTGTTTTCGCACAACTACTTCTTTTGTCTTGTAAGTCTACTGATGACTCTTTAAATGAAATCAATTTATTCATACTCACAAGGTTTCGCGTTCAACCTACCGACTACATTCATATTAAACCCGTGCGTTTAAGTCTCTCTCTGTCTTTCTTGCTGGTACTGTCATAACTTTTATTGAACTATAAAGTTAATTATTCATATAAAATCCACTTATTTGAGTGCTGGTACTGATGCAACCGCCAATGCACTGCAAAGTTACTTATTCATACTAATTCCACCAGTTGGATACTTTTTCCATCTTGTTAGTACTGACGCAATCTTCATGCAACTGCAGAGTAACTTATTCATACTAATTCCACTTGTTGGTGTCTTCCTCCATCTTACTGGTACTGATGCAACTTTCATGCAATGTTATTTATTTCTTCACTATCGACTTCCTTTTCACCATTTGAGTTCTTGTGTACTGGTTAAAGTCAAGTCCATATGTGCGTCATGTTAAGTTTACTTCTGGAATGCAAGTACACAAAAGTAAAGTATTGTGTTATTGAAAAAAATATAATTAAATAAATATTTAATAATTAATTCGTAATAAAAGTACGCATGTGTATGGTATTTGAGCTCCAGCAATGCCGAATCTGACTTTTTTTTTCATAAATATAAACCGATTTACTTCCCGTTAGTAATGAACCAATAACTTTTGGTTTGGAATTGAAATTAATTTCACAAATATATTTTATCTGAGTGCATATGAAAAATATTGTAATTACAAATAAACTTAAGCAAAGATATTTTTAATTAATGCAAATATTAAAATTGTTTGAATTTCTTTAATCGTTCGATCGAACCTCATCCGACTAAAGCAAATAATTTATTTATTAAAAATCGGCAAAAAATGAAAGCAAAAATTTTTAATTTAAAAGATATATGAAAAAATTGGTGCGGTGGCTGCGCATTCCACAAACTACCAAAATAAATAATAATAACGACGACAACGCGATTTAATGGATTTCAAATGGAACCAAAATGGAAACCAAATTACTTAAAAAAATGAGAAAATGCGAAAACAAGCATTTTACGTGAATTACATGCCTCGAATTGTAGGATTCATTAATAATCCGCGAAGCAAGCAGCTCAAAAGGAACGATTTTGTATGTGATGAAAAAAAATTATCGAATTGGAAAAATTTCCAATTACAATTACAATATTTTCTTACTGACGTATTATATTATGGATGTGTGATGTGTGATTTACCCATACACTCACTCGGGTTTTGTATGTGTAGGAACTTGCATGCACGGCATGGAGGACGCCTTGCCGTCTGACAAAGTCAGCGGATGTATCGATGAAATACGTGCTTCATTTTTCAATATTTTTAAGAGCAAATGGGATTTGCATGTAAATAATTGCAAAAAAGCAAAAGAACCAAAATAAAAATTAAACAAAAAACAAAAAACAAAGCAACAAAAAAAAGTACATGCCAAAGTAATGAAAAAGCAGAATAAATAAGCAACAGAAGTTTTTTTTTTTTGAACAAAAATAAAATCGAAAAAGAATCGCTTATGTTCATTAAGGACATTTATCTCCTCTCCTCTCCTCTCCTCTCCTCACTGTGCATAGAAGCAAAAACTCGCTTTTGACTTTTCAACCAAAAAGAGAGAGGAAAATTAAATATTGTTTTTGTTGTTGTTGTTGTTGCAAAAATGTTTTATTATTATTATTAACATATCTTTCCCATTTGCTTTTACTTTTGATTAAACCAAACCTTTTTTTCTTTATTATTATTACAGGTGACAAGTTTTACCACAAAAAAAGGTACAATTCCTATGCCATCCTCTAGTGGTGTCTCATTGCAGCTGCATCAACAACGTCAAATAGCTACGATAGAAACACCACCAGCTAGTGCCGGCATGCCAATGCAGATACCGACTGTTACCTGCGACTTGGCATCTGACATATCAACATCAGAAGCGGGCGAAGCTGATCCACATCCTTTAGTCTATTCGAATGGTAATTCGGGTGTGCCAACATCAAATGCAGTGGGGATGCTGTCAACAGAAACGCCCAATTGTAATAAGGAAACACTTAAGGTCAGTACTATAGCAAGTGTGCGTGGTGCATTAAATGTACCAGTGCCGCCATCTATGGCAGTTGAAGCTGCAACAGCAGCAACTGGCGCTTTAACAACAAACAACAATAACAACGGTAGTCCAGCGACAACAATTACGTCTGGTCTGGCGCCGACATCAGCGACGACAACGTCGCTCTCACCGAATGAGTTACGTGTCTCACCGATTGCAGGTCGTTGTCGTGCCCTCTCAGTGGGCATTGATACTGACATGGTCAGCGAATTCGATCCATCCAGTTCGGATTCAGGTGTGGTCAGTCGCTGTGCAGTGGTTAAACCACTGAAATTTAGACTGTGCCAACCGATATTCGGTCGCAAATCAAATCAACAACGACGCAATGAAGCGAAAACAGCAGCCACTGTTAAAACGCTTAAACCCTCCGAAATAACTAAAACCGAACTTGAACCCGCCATACCGAAAGTTCAAAAGCCACGTGATCCTGAAAAGGAGAAACGACGTATTGCGCGTAAAAAAGAAAAGCGTGCCACACTTATTTTAGGTCTGATAATGGGTAGCTTTATAGCCTGTTGGCTTCCATTTTTCTTCTTGTACATATTAATGCCAGCCTGTACTAGTCATTGTAATATACCCGAGTCGGCATTTGCTATTGCATTCTGGTTGGGCTATATGAATTCCGCCTTGAATCCGGCCATTTATACTATATTCAATAAGGACTTTCGGCGCGCTTTTCGGCGTATACTTTTCAAGTGATGTTTGGCTTATGTGTGCTGTTATCGGTGCGTTCATGCGAGCATTGAGAAGGCAACGGAACGTGCCATGGGCAGCACACCCATGGGTTACGGCATGTATCATTACAGGCGATAGATTTGGTTATTTGCAGTTAATTGCAGTGCTTAGCAGTGCAACGAATCTTTCAACTCTTTTCTTAGACTTCTTAAATTTTGAGAAAATTTATATTATTCCATCACTTTTTGATAGGACGTACTAGATAAGTGACATATGACATTGTACATATAATAGATAGTACTGTATTGTAGGCATTGTAGGCTTAAAATGATTTAAATATATTTTAGTTATGATATTATTTTAATTATTGCATTAATTTAGAAAATGCTTTTATTTTTAAAAGTACTTTTTAATTTTTTTAATTATTTTAGAAAAAAATTGAAGCTCATTTAAAAAGCAAAAAATGGCTGTGAATTTGGTGAGTTGCTTTTACTTTTTTTTTTGTTTTTTGCTTTTTGGTTTAATGGTAATTGCTGTTTGGTTACTATTGGTATATATCAAATTAAATTATTTGTATATATGGTATTATTTCTATAAAATATATTTTGTAATTTTCAATACAAAGCTTACAATTCACAAGTATGGAATTAACACATAACTTCTGAGAAATATGAACCAAGACCATGACTTCTAATCTACAAACCAGAAAATTACTTATTTCTCCTTAAAATGGTTTTATTTTTTTAAAAACGATGTGAAGCGAGATATCAGAATAGAATATTTGAAGATACTCGATTTTATAACTTAATTTATTTGTTTTTTAATTAAACTTTAACATAAAAAGCTTATATATGCAAAATAATGCAATTCTTGTTAAAAAAATTTTATCTGCATATATGTCTATATATATATTTACATATATCTACATCTGTCGCTGTGATCTGGCAACACTGAAGTTTTATGTGTCATTTTAAATAGAGAAAAATATATTATATTTAATTTATTTTACTAAATAATTAATTTTAACATAAATTGTAACTTAACGTCAGTTATGACGGAAGTGACTATATATTTAATAGAATCCTCTCTACTAAATAATTATTTATAAAGAGAAACAACTATTGGGATTTTTATAAAACAGTTGATTAAATACAGAATATTAATAAAAGATCTATTTGTATTTACATATAACAACACCTACATAATAAATCGATCACTTATAATAATGCTAATATTTTTTACCATTTATATATTGAAAATATTTAATATTATTCACTTGCTTTCATGAGGCTGACTTACGTATTTATATTTATTTATATATGCATTAAATATGAAAAAAACAAACAAAAAAACATTCTTACTAAATGCTTTTCAAGATTTCTAGTTTATAATATATCTCTAATATAATATATCTCTTAGCAGAAGGTGAATTGGTTTTAATACCCGACGTGTATAGCTTATTCACCTTTTACTAAGAGTAGAGATATATTATAATCTAGAATTCTGGAAATCTGGAAACATTTATTTATTTATACCATAAGTATAACAATGATGAATTATAGAAAAATTTAGCGATCTCATTAAGATATTCCTTAAAGATATCAATTTGATAATGTAATTGCTAAGTGTTTAGGAACTTTTATAGTATTGAATATTGATTTCAACGTCCTGATTGCATCTCTGAGAAAAAGATGAAAGTGCATAATAGATTCTTTTTCACAGTCCAGTCAATAGCCGACGGATTGACAACGAATTAATATTATAGTAGAATTATTTAACAATTTATGAAAAGGTCTTCAAAAAGTAGTGAGATACAACAACAAAAATTCTTTTTTTATATTATTTTAATTAATTGAATTTTTGGCTGACAGCTGTTTCGAATATTGCCAAATACCTTTCATCAGTGGTCTTAGAAAGAATTCTTGTATTAAGTAATTCATAAATAATTTTTTAAGACTGCAAGTACCAGGAATCGAACTCGTGCCCTACCAAATTTGAAGCTCAGAGTCAGCGCTCCTTAACCAACTAACCCAAAGCCGTACTTGCTTCAATCACTCGTTAATTTTTGCTTAAAAATAAAATTAACAAACTTTTAAAAAATTAAAATATCTAAATTTTATTCATATTAAGTATCCTTAGGGAATATTAAGAATTAAAACTGGAGTAATCCATATGTTTTATTTCTTTTATTTCTGGAGAGTACATAGTATATGGAATGATTGTTCTATCTAAATTTTATTATTGTTTTTTTAAATTACTTTGCATTTTTATTAAAACTACTAAGAATCAACTTAGAACTAACAATAAGTTATCGCTGCTTGCAGTTGAGGACGAAAGAAAATAAATAATTAATTATCTTTAGCCAAAGCTTCATTCAATTTCATTTCGATGTCGTGCGTTATTTTTCAATAGCCGGTTTTGAATAGTTACTTTTGAGTCGCTGGGTTCAAATACTTTGGGTGAATATATGCATTTTAATGCGTTGAATTTTTGCTGTATATATAAATTTTTGGTTAATTAAATAATTAGTTAATTAGTTGTTTTATTTGCAATCGATAGATCTTAGTAGAAGAACTTAGTGTTTCTTCTATTTTTGTAAAAATAGCAGCGGAGATAAATTATCAAAAATAATTAGCGTAATAGATAAATGTAAGGAACAGAACTATCAAAATCTGGGTAACATCGACAAAAACTTAAATTAAAAACTTTTTGTGAAATGTTCTATAGACATTTGGTTTTTTAACGGATATTAGTATGTATTCGTATTTCTAAAACACTTCTTAGTTGAAAATAGATTTAATATATAATATTCCAGTGCCCTTCTCTTCGATCATATCGACACTAGGTGGAAAAAAATTTTCTAATCAAGAATTGTCTTATATTATTAATCTAGTTTAGGCAAACCGAATAGTGAGTGATATTAAATAGTCCAACAGGAATTTCAACTGAAATTTTTCTTCGCAGAAATCAGTGCCCTTCTCTTCGATCATATAAAAACTTGATGCCAAAAAAAATCGTCGTCATGCTCTAAGCAAAAATTGTATTTTATTGTTAATCTAATATAAGTAGTAGTGCAATTCGGATCGAAATATTTAATAGTCCAACAGAAACTTCAGTGCAAAATTTTTTTTTTCTGCTAAAATTTAAATACTTAGTCTTAAAAATTTTACTTTACATAAGCCATTTGCATTCAGCAAAATAAATAAAATATATAATATTCATAATATTATAAATATATATATATATATATGCATAAATCAACACAATGCATTCACAATAAAATGATCAATATTACAGGCAGTAGTATTTACTGTGTGTTTTTATATTGAATTTGTGTCACAATTTCAAAATTTCAATTAAACTCAGGCGAATGAATGAGACGATAACGACAATGGCACTGGGAAGCCAGTGAATTGCATGCCCGCAAATGCAACTGCACTGCATTTTCAATAAAAATTGCTGAAATGAGAAAATTTCAATACAAACTGACAAACATGGATTCAGATTCGGATTCGGATTCGCAGAATGTGTTTAAATGTTTTTGTATTTCAATTGTATTTTTGTATTTTGTATTTTGTATCTTAGTATTTTATTTTGAATTATTGTAATGTGCGATGACAGCACAGCACAAGTACGGGTACTAGTACTGGTATGTGTGGTTGCCAATGATGGATGTGTTTACTGCAATGGATATAACACAGAGAGGAACCACAGTAATAACACAAAAGCGACAACCGCTACAACCCATTTGCTGTCTAAATATACTTAAAAGCCGAGCCGAGTCGAGCCAAGCGTGTAGATGGGGGCGCTTGGGCACTGGGCGCTCCATTAAAATTGCAAGCATTGGAAATTGAATGCTGAATGGAAATGTGCACATTAAATTGTAACCACAAATCGAGGCCAATTGAATTGTGCTCACTGCTGCACCAAAATCATTTAGAGCAATTCTTGTTCTTGTTTATTTTTGTGTTTTTGTTTTTTTTTTCAGTTATATATGGTTTTTCGCTTTGTCCATCAACAACTCAACAACAGCCACAAATACAAATAAACATTGAATACAGGATAGAGTACAGAGTATAGAGTATAGAGGACAGAGGACAGAGAACACAGAACAGAAGAGGCTTAGTTTTACTCGAACCAGCAATTCAATTTGAAAAATGAACCTCTCCGGCAAATACTGGCAAATGTGTAGGCCTTTTATACGGGCGTACTTAATAGGCAATTTTAAACATTGACATTTCAAGACAATTTAGATAAAAGTGTTGAGATAAATACGTACACAGAGTAACGATAGTAATTAATTAAAATCTCTTTTATAGCTTTGTGCACAAAATTGATTGGTGTTAATAAATGTTAAAGAGATTAAACAGATTAGCTATTATGTACCAAATGATTTCCATTATTTAATGCCAAGTTCGACCCAGTCAAGTTGGACTCAGTCAACTACAAACTATACAAAATCAAACAACAAAAAAAAAATACTGTCATTATTTGGCAACAATAAGAAACGTGATGAATAATGGAATTCTGACTATGAATCTGCAAGTTTTTGTTCTTGTGCATTACCAGGCATGTTAGTCGGATTCATTTACATACTTTGGGGTTTACTTCACTTTTTACTCATAATGTTATGGTAATTATTTACAGCGATTTAAACTTAGCTATAGTTTTTGTTTTTAATGTAAATAAATTTTAATTAATTTCAGTTCATTTGTTTTAAATATCTGGGATTTATGAAGTCGTTAAGTTATTACGGGAAAAGGAAGAAATACTTCATTTGATATATTGAAGCTATTAATAATATGTATAAGTAACGAGAAATAACAAAAACATCATCATATTTAATGTTGCATGCGTATATGAATTTAATATTTCATATTAATAAATATTATATCATTTATGAATTTAAATATGAGTATAGCTTTTTCTCATTTTTTTTTTAACAATAAGTTTTAAAATTTTAAAAACTTATAACATTGCATTACAAATTATGCATACTATTTTATAAAATAATTTGTAAATTATTTTAAGGGATCTCTAAATATATAGCCAGTGTAAATGGGTATTTCTGAGCCTCTGAATAACTAGCCAGTGTAAATGGATATATCTGAGATTATTTTAAGTTATGA